ATCCCTCGTATGGAGTTGACTGCAGCAGTTATGGCAGCCCGTCTCACAGATTCTATATTACGTGAATTGAATATCAAGGAAGTTTGTTACTGGACAGACAGCCAGACTGTTCTTAAGTATTTACAGAGTGACACCAGAAGATTTAAAATGTTCGTAGCTAATCGTGTTTCTACTTTATTGGACTTGACCAAAGTTTCACAATGGAGATACGTCAGAACGGCTGACAACCCAGCCGATGAAGCCTCTAGAGGCCAAGGTATTGATGATTTCTTGCGAAATAAGCGATGGATCAATGGGCCTGATTTTCTTGATCAACATGTTGAGCAGCACATAAATCCACAGGAATGTTTGGTTGAAATTGATGAGAATGACCCAGAAGTCAAGAAGGTTTCCAATGTGGTTGTAACCAAAAACCAGTGCTGTTTCCTAGACGGATTGATCTCCAGATGCTCAAGCTTCATGAAGCTGAGGAATGTAGTGGGTCTAGTTTTAAAGTTTGTCAGAAGAGCAAGAAAGAATCAATCAAAGAGCAATGATGTTGATCAATTGGAGGCCGCAGAGAGGTTCATTATAGTTCATGAACAACAGAAACATTTTGCGACGGAGTTAACTGCCTTGAAGAATGGGGAGAAGAAATCGATAACTGCCGTAATGAAAGCTAGTCCCTTGCATAAGCTGGACCCTATGCTGGTAGATGGAGTTATCGTAGTTGGGGGAAGACTGAGAAGAGCAGCCCTCCCAGACAGAATGAAGCATCAGATAATAATCCCCAAGAGATCTGAAATTGCTCCATTAATTGCCCTTCAAGCCCACAAAAATGTCGGACACATGGGTCGAGCTGCTATGTTAATGTACATGTGGGAGAAACACTGGATTATGGGGGCTGGTGCATTAATAAAAGGTGTTATCAGTAAATGCGTCATCTGCCGAAAGTACCGTGCCAAGTCTGCAGAACAAAAGATGGCCGCATTGCCAAGTGAGCGTGTGCTCAGCGACAATCCTGTCTTTTATAACACCGGTCTGGACATGTTTGGGCCATTTCAGGTCAAGCAAGGTAGAAGTCAAGTAAAAAGATATGGACTTCTGTTCACATGTTTAGCAACAAGGGCTATACACCTAGAAATTGTGCACACAGCCAATGCAGACTCCTGCCTGAATGCGATACGGAGATTTGTATGCAGGAGAGGGTTAATTTCCTCCATAAGAACTGATAACGGAACAAATTTTGTGGCTGCAAGCAATGAGTTAAGCAAAGCCGTGGAAACATGGAACAGAAGTCAAATCCCTCAATGGCTGGCTCAACATGGAATTCGATGGGAGTTCAACCCACCCGGTGCTTCCCACTTCGGTGGCGTAAGGGAGCGCCTAATTAGAGTTGTCCGCCAGGTTATGAATGGAGTTCTAAAAGAACAGCATCTTCGACTTGATGATGAGGGTCTTTGTACCTTGTTTTGTGAGGTAAAACACATAGTAAATGGAAGGCCGATTACCACAGTATCGTCAGATGCAGACGACTTGCGACCATTAACACCGAATATGATTCTAACAATGAATGAAAAATCTGTACTCCCACCCGGAGTTTTCGATAAAACAGACATGTATGTCCGAAGGCGGTGGCGCCAAATACAATATTTGGCCAATTTATATTGGACAAGATGGCGTAAGGAGTATTTGCCTCTAATGCAAAGGAGGCAAAAATGGCTGTATCCGAAGAGAAATTTGCAAAAGGGAGACATTGTGCTAATTGTTGACGACTCGTTACCCAGAAGTACTTGGCTCCTTGGACGAGTTATTGAAACCAAAGCAGACAGCAGAGGACTTGTACGGTCATGTAAGGCGAAAACACAGCATTCTACCTGTCTCTTATACACATCTAGATGTGTATAAGAGACAGGAATTACACAAGAAGGGGAATCTTGTCTATTACCAGCT